GGGTTGTAGCCCACGAAAGCTTATGCTCTAATAAATTTGTTAGTCTCTAAGGTGCCACAAGTACTCCTATTCTTTTTGAGGATACAGACTAACACCGCTGCTACCCTGAAATGTTTTTCAAGGTGATAGAACATGGATTATCCTGTGAAAATGAGTATTTTCTGATATCATATCAGAGCCAACTGGGGTCCATCTAAACCAGTGGCTTGTCTCTGACAGTGGCCTGTAATAGATACTTTTGCAGTTGCTAAAAACACACAATAGACAGTTATGTAATAATTTGCCCAAAGAGGAAGTTGCTTCCTAATACTGAAAGCTAATCATGGTGTCTGCTGTGAAGCTGGAAGGTTTATATTCTATAGACATGTTTACCTTAATATATATATGGATATACATCCACCTAAGCACCTCTGAAAGCTGTGTAGGTAACTGAGTGCAGATGCCAGAGTCCATCAGTAGGAACAGGGTGTACTCTCCACTTTGCCTTGCTTTTTTATAATTTTTTTTTACATGAAGGTAATGGCATGGAAATTCCAGTTCTAGGAGTGTGTTTGGGTTTTTAGGGCCTTTGTCACTTGCTGTCTAACATTCTACTGCTTGCTGCTGTGGCCAATATATCTGTGGTTTAGCACTGGGATTACTTGTCTAATGAATATCCTCCGGGCACCGTGTCCCTGGGTTTTGAAATCTGTTGAAAATCTCATTCTGGAGCTGTCAGTATGGATGACAGCAGACCTGACCACTTCCCTCAGCACTGAACAGATGGAGCGATAAAGCAGATTCTGACCCTGGCAAACTTTCCCTTGTTTGAAGGGCTTGGTTAACAGGCTTATTGGCAGTTATTTAATTTCTTGTGGAGCTGGGATGTTGAGTTTGTTGCACTGTACAAGTGCCGGCACTGGTTTTTGCTCTCTGTGCCAGTGTGAAACAACATCTCACCAGGCCTACTCTGCGAGAACATGTTCTTATTTTCTACAGGGGCTGTGTAGGCAATCATGTTTAATTCCTGCACTCATTTTTAATGTCTAATTACATTCCCCACTAGAGGGCAGACACGACACACATTTGAACCTGAAATTTTATTGAACCATTAACCCCATGACTACATTGCAATCTCCTCAGAGTTAATGGATTATACAACACAGGGCAGGTTTAGCATCTCACTAAGAATAGTCTGACCTGCCTATCGGAGCATGGTGCAGCCTTTCAGCAAAGCTTTAACATATGCTAAAGAGCAGGATCTTACATTATAGGGTAGACACAGTGCAAGAGACCCCCCCGGTCCTGCCCTGCTTATCCTTAACTATATATAAAAGCTAATCACATCAGTTTGTATCTCAGTCTCTCAGCCAGATAAGCAGCCAAGACAAAGTGCTGTGGTTTTTCCCAGTAGATGTGTATGTAAAAATCATTCCTAAAATACCACAGTCCAAACTTGTATCATTTCTGCCATCTCCAATGTCTGGAGCATATGCTGAATTCCGGAGTTCCCAAATGAACAAAGATAATGAATGAGGCTGCGAGTCTGTCACAGAGGTCATGGATTCCATGACTTTCTGTGACCTCTGTGACTTCTGCAGCGGTTGGTGCTGGCTCAGGGGCTTCCCAAGCCGGGCAGCCCCTGGGCCAGCAGCAGCACTTTGGGTGTGTGGGAGGGGGCTCAGGGCTAGGGGCAGGCATTGGGAGGAGCGGGGGGCGCATACCTTGGGGCGAGGGGGCTCCCGGCTCCCACTGGCATGGCCCTGCAGCTTCTAGGTGATGGAAGAGCCAGGGGGCTCCGCACGCTGCCCGCAGGCACTGCCCTCTCAGCTCCCATTGGCTGTGGTTCCCAGCCAATGGGAGCTGCGCAGCCGGCACTTGTGGCGGGAGCAGCGTGCGGAGCTCCCTGGCCCCTCCGCCGCCTAGGAGCTGCAGGGACATGCAAAGTTGGGTAGGTAGCCTGACAGCCCCACCAACCCCCCACCTCCTTCCCCCCCCAGCACCAGCAGGGATCCCGGGCTGTGCATTGCTGCCCCCCCGCCCAGCACTAGTGGGGGTCCTGGGCCACCTCCCCCAGCACCCGTGGCACCCCCCGAACCGCCTCCCCCAGAGCACCCATGGCCCCCCGCCCAAGTTTTAGTTAGGGGTATACAGTAAAGGTCATGGACAGGTCACAGGCTTTGAATTTTTGTTTGCTGCCCATGACCTGTCCATGACTTTTACTAAAACTACCCATGACTAAAACGTACCCTTAATAATGAATACTATGATCCACACGAAATGTTCAGAGACAAGTCTCCTATGTCGGAAGTGCTCCCTCCCTAAGTACTGATGGGAGTGCAGGAGAAGTTCAGCTAGCTCATTTAGGGCTTGATCCTGCAACGTGCAGAGCACGCTGGCTCTTATCTAGTGAAACACTTATGCTTAAGGTTAAACACATGCTTGTGAGTAAGCCCATTAACTTCAGTTGGCTAGCCACCTGCTTAAATGTTTATGCTTCTCTACATCAGGGCCAAAGTGCTCCACACCTTGTAGGAACAAGTGCTTGCTCAAAAGCCCATCTGGAATCTAGACACATGAGCTCCATGCCAGGCAGGGCTTTGGAGCTGTGCTCTGGCTCCGCTCCAGGCAAAAACCTGCAGTTCCACTGCTCTGGAGCTGCTCCGCGCTCCAGCTCCAGGCTCCGCTCCAGAGCCCTGGTGCCAGGACTTTGTAAAAGAATGCGAGGGACTCCAGGCCTAGGAGATTGCATGGGAGCTGCAGATGCTGCACAACAGAAGGTCTTGCTCGAGAATGTTTTGAACCACACCCAACAGCTGGAGAACACCTGCCACCATTCTGACTTGCAAAGGCACAAACAAGCACTCAGTGCAGCCCCAAGCAATACCCCAAAACTCACAATGTATGCCCAGCCCTAGCCCAAAACCACTGAGACCTGGAAGAGCACTCCTGTAATGAACATGCCAAGCTTCTCAGCACAGGGGTGGAGACTTGCAGTACTGGCATCCTTCAGCTACGCATGAGCCAGGATGGCCAGAGGCACTAGACACAAATTCTCTGGGCTTAGGAGACTCCCTGCACCACTCTGTCCACAGACTGCTGCAAACCAGCTGAAATCAGGGTCCTGGGGGCAGTCCTCGCTCAGCAGCGGCCATTCATTTCTTGGATTTTTCCATGGGTTTAGCTGATTGCTAGGACTATATTTGTGCTGCCCCCGTCTCTCGGGAGTTGCCAATCTGCTGAGTCACTTCCTCTTCTCAGACCTTTCTTTTCCCTTTATCCTCTTTCTCTGGAAAGTGCTTTATGAGGCAGTATAGTGGACAGAATGTGACTCATCTGCACCTGCCTTTTCGTTTGATGGTACTTGGGATGCTAAATGCTGCAGCCAGGGTCCAACAGTGTCTACTAGTATGTGTCTAGCTACGCAGCTCTGAGTGCTCCCTGGGAAATGGCCTGGATCTAGAGCAATTCCCAGCCTCTGTTATTTATATACCAGACTCCTCTCCTTGAGGATGCTCCACTTCCGTCATGACAGTGACTTTGTTTTTCCTGTTACAAAGTCTCCTTGTGGCCAAAGCTTTCCTGTATTAGATCAGATGGTGGCAGTAGCACGCCTCCCTAAAATGGTGATGCAGCCGCATCTGTGTGTGGCTATGCTCATTCCCCAGAGTAGGAAGAGGGCAAGACAAATAGCCAGCAAGGAGGGGGGGTCAAAGTGACAATCTGTTCTTGTAACACAGCTAGCCAGAGCTCCAACAGCCATGCTGGGTATTCTGCTGTTGCTGCACCTGATAATTGGTGCTAGAAGGGTCATACAATTCATGGGGAATTGCTTGAACACACTCATGGGATCATGTTACAGATCACAGTGCTCCCACGCCCACCAGCCCTGCGGGTTTAGTGTGGGAATCAGTACATTCTCACTGCGGTCTCAGGCTGTCTCCTCTGTAAGCACAAGTGCAATCAAAGCCCTTTGAAAACGCAAAGCACCATAGAAGTGCTCAGTATTATTATTGGGATGGGTTGGTGATTTGCCCCATTAACCCCCATAGTTCTTCTCAGCGGCGGGTAATGAGGACTATGCCACTTGTATTTATGTTGGGCAGAGGAATGGCCACTAGATTGGGCTGGCGCCTGGTCTGGGAACGAAGTTAAGACCCTTGTTCTCCGGCGACTGAGAAACTTTGGCTCATCTGCTACTGAGGTCTTGTCCTTGGTAGTATGGCTGTAATTGCTTCATCCCCTGCCTTAAGCCTGTCTCCCCTCCCTGAGGCTCTCCTCTTCCTCATTCTGCAGCCGCTTCCTAGGCCAGCCCCTCATCCCCACCAACCACCAGTCATTCATGGTTCTCCAATAACACACACCATCCCTACAGCTTATTTGACGGGAGGGTAATTTCTCTGTAGGCTCTTGTTACACATTTGCCTAGAAGGGGGGGTCTCACTGGGACTGGGGGGTGCGATCCTGCGGGGAGGCCTTGTCAGGAATGGGCACAACTGAGGCCATGGCTCGTGTAGCAGTTCAGGTGAGTGAAGCGGGAGAGTTAGTAGCAAAGCCTGAAGAGTTAATTTCTGAAGCACTACACTACCCCTCTGTTTCTGCACCACTCTCCTGGCTGACTGAAGAACGTGCTGAGGGAAGCCGTCTCTCCGCTCCTTGGGATGAGGAGACAGCTCAGGTTGTACTGAGCAGGCGTCAAACAACCAGCAGCCTTCCTTCCTCTCATGCTGGCAGGTCCATGCGGAGGGTGGATGAGGAGAGAGCAGGGAGCCTGCTGCTAGCTTCTGGCTGCCTGCGCTTCAGGACTGTCCTCCTGGGGTTCATCCTCATCTGACTGCACCACGGGGGTCTCAGCCCCCTCCTCGCTGGTGTCCAGGCTGTTCAGGTCTGTGGACACAGAAGATGTGGACGAGATCCGGGATTTGATCTCAGCCGCATTGGGCACTTGCAGGGTGATTTCCTCCTGGTAGTGGCTGGGCTCTGCCCAAGGAGAGAGGCAAGATTAGCAGAAGAAACCAACATGCTAGCATCTTTGCAGGCCTTGTGCCCAGCCCCCTTCAACTCCACCATACCCCTCTGCAGGCAGGCTGGGCCTTCATCCCTTTCCCAGCCCATCGCAGGGGCTATATATGTGCAGAGCGCCATTTCAGCAGGGGCAGCGACTCTGGTACACAATGTTTCTAGGCCCTTTAGGAGGAAAGGAGATGAGGCTGGAACTATCCCTATCAGGAGAGGTGAGGGGTCGGTGGGAGTCACTGGGCTCAAAATTCTTATTGTCCATGAGCAGAGAGACATGAGCCGGCCGTAAGCAGGACTGAGCTGCTGAGCTACCGATCCCTTAGCCCGACTTTGATCCCCAGCACGAGCCAGGCTGCAGCCAGAGCCGGGTCTCCTTCCCCAGTCCCAGACTTTGGCAGCAGGGCATGTGCCTCACATTCCTTCCCCATTTTTGGCAGTGGAGCCTTTTCCGTCTCGCTTGTAAAATTCCAGCTTGGGGCCTTCATGTGTGAGGCCGTTTAACTGGCACAGAGGAGAATCTGCCGCTAAATGGCTTGACTCATTCTCAGAGTGACTCATTCTCAGAGTCTCTGCAAGGAGCGCAGTATGGGGTGATCAGGCTGCCGATGCCGCCTCCTCCCCCATTGGGGTCCCCCTCTCCAGGCAATGAGCTCAACACAGGGTAACTGGGGTCTGCAAGGCTCCCCACTCCCCATGTGAGGAGCCCAGCCTGGGGCCACCACGGTGCTGACACTGCCCCCAACAGGGAGCTCAATGCAAGACAGTCAGGGTCTTGGCACCCCCACACTTTGTGCAGAGAGCTCAGCATGGGCAATCAGAGCCCAGGGGAGCGTGAGCATGTGAGGAGTGCGGCAGGGGTGATGGGACAGTGGCTGCTCTAGAGCAGTTTGGGGGGACAAGAATTCAGTCTTACAAACCCTAAAAAGCTCAGAGTGCACATCAGCCCTGGAAAACTTGGATCCATAATTCTCTGCTCCCAGCAATGGTGGCTGTAGTGTAGACAGGGGACAGTGTTTGTACAACAGTACCCTTCCCTAAGATTAGATGTCGTGATGCTGAAAATGCCTGTGCCCTTTCTACTCGGCAGCCTCCATTGCTCATATCGTCGATGGAGCTGTACTAGCGGAGCTGTGCTGATGTGAACTTTTCCAACCCCACAGGCCAAAGCCACAAGTTTGTTGCCCTTCAGGACTGAAGAGAATCACAGCAGGGCTTGGACTGGATCGAAGAACTGACCAGCTGGCGTGAAGGTTGGGGGGACAGCAGGGAGCAAACAAGGAGGGTTGCGTACATACCTGGCAGGAGACCGGCAACATTGTTATCCTCTGTCCCGCAGCTGAGAAACACGTCCATGGTGTCCTGGTCAGAAAGGTCCATCATCTCCATCTGCTCCAGCATGTCCACATTCACCTCCATGGAGGAAATGCTGCCCAGCGGAGCTGCAGAGACACGGGCCAGAAAACAAGGGAGGGCCCATCACTAGTGCCAGCCAGATGAGAACCTATTAGCCCTGGACCAGCAGCACTGAGAAGCCGATGCCATGGGAGGCCAGCTTGTGGGACTAGTCTTCTGGCTTGCTTATAGTGTGAGCTCTTCAGGGCCCTTATCTTTATGACCTGTTCAGGGTTCTATAAATAACAGGTCACCCCCTCCGCACTGCCTTCCATCCCATTCTGTGTGTGACAGACACCTCCCCCTAGCCCCGGGCGGGCGGCACTTACGTCTCCTGTGCTCTATCTGCAGGTGGGACATGGGGAAGAAGAAATCCACATCATGCTGGAAAACCTCCTCAAAGAACTTCTGCCTGTCACGTAATTTGAGCTGCTGCTGCATCTGCTCTGGCTCCAGTCCCCGCTGCCCATGCTCCATGTCAGCTGTAGAGGAACAAGGTGGAAGATCAGGCACAGGCTAGATGCAGTCAGATGGGGCATGGGAGATCAGCCCAGGCCAAGAAGGGCTGCATAAGTCCACCCTATTCCTTCTATCAGTGTCCTGCAGGATAGGTATTGCTCTCCTGCTCTACTTTATCCATGAGGGTGCATTGTGATTTGGTAGCAATGGAAGAGGTATTACAGGCCATGGAGCTTGCTCCAGCAGTGCAATCTGTGCTGGGGGCCACTGCTACTGTGATACAGACCAGTCTGGTGCCCACAGCTGCAATGACCGTCTCATACTTTGGGCTTCCCCACCTTCCTTCCAGGGTTCTCAAAGCACTCTACAAACTTTAACTCTCACCCCCTCCGTGAGAGGGGATTAGTGTTCTGTTATCCCCATTTTCCAGAGAGGGAAACTGAGGCACGGAAAGCAGACGTGACTTGCCCAGGGTCACCCAGTATCCGAGCCAGGAATAGAACCAAGTCCTCCTGACTCACAAGCCTCTGCTCTAACCACTAATCAGCGGTTCTCAAACTGTGGGTCGGGACCCCAAAGTGGGTTGCAACCCCATTTTAATGGGGTCACCAGGGCCAGTCTTAGACTTGCTGGGACCCAGGGCTTGGGCTCCGGCCCCCTGTCCGTCCCCCACAGGGCAGTGGGGCTCAGGCTCCAACCCCCTTTCTTCCCCCACCCGGGGCAGCAGGGCTCAGGCTCCGGCCCTCCACCCCCGGGGTCATGTAGTAATTTTGTTGTCAGAAAGGGGTTGCGGTACAATGACGTTTCACTCCTGCCTTGCTTGGCAGAGAAGAAACATGGCAGCCCAGATGTTGACTGTTCAGGACTGTAACCAGAGTGCTCAGGTGTGCGTGATATGGGGTAGTCTCAGCTCCAGCCTGTCACACTCTGGTTTTCCTGCTGCCTAACAAAGGGTTAACCAGAGAGTTGCCTTTGAATATTAACACAGCAGAAACTCTCCCAGGAACAGGAACTGACCCTGAGTGCCAGGGATATTGGACTGAGAAATGTGATAGTAATAAAATGGCATTAACACCCCCACCCCCGCCTACAAACACTCCCCTCCGTACACCAGTCTATAATCCCAGTCCCCCGCCGCCCCACACACACATACAGACAAACAGGCTCCTCCATTCGTCCCACCCCCTTCACACACAGCCAGCCTGGATCTCTGCATTTGCATTCCTTTCATCCCTCCCATGGTTTAACTCTGCTCCCAAGAGCAATGAGGAGCCACTGAGGGAAGAGGGCTGAGCCCTCCGCAGGGAACAAGGTGATGGAGGGCCAGTTCCTCCTAAGCACAGCAGGGCCTGTCTCTGTCCCTCCTGCTTTAGGAAAGCAGAGGAGCAAAGAACCTGCAGCCCTTCTAGCTTGGCCAATTGGTTTCCTGGGCCCAGATCCGCTAAGGTGTTCGAGTTCAATGGAATTTAGGAGCCTAAATACCTTTGAGGAACTGGGCCTTGCTGGTTTATTCCAGCAGCTGCCTGGATGCTCCCAGACTGGAGTCTCATTCCAGGATCCGTCTCTGCTACTCTTGGCCAGGCAAGGAAAATGTGACAACCCAGCCGGGCAGGGCAGAAACCAGGGAAACCAAACAAACATTCTAGCCTGTCCCCATCCCAGCACTGACCAAACCCACCTCCTGCTGCTGGAAGCGGGGGCGGGGGGGAATCCCAGCAAAGAGCAGCAATTGCCTGGGATCCCCACCCTGGCTGGCGGGGGCTGTGTCTGGATCAGGACCAGAATGTTATAACATAGGACCCCAGAGGAAACAAACTTCTTCTTCCCTCCCCCCAAACACTTGCCCCAGGGAAACCCCTCAGGGCTAAACTCCCTGCCCAGACACCTGCCACAGGGACACCCAGCAGGGCTAAATCCCCCCCCTCCCAATACCTGCCATAAGGAAACCTCTTAAGGCTAAACTTCTTCCCCATCAGACATCTGCCCCAGGGAAACCCCTCAGGACTAATCTCCGCCCCCTACCCTCCCCCCCACCCCCACCTGCTGCAGGGAAACCCTTCAAAGCTAAACACCCCCTCCAGACACCTGCCCAAGGGAAACCCCTCCGGGCTAAACTCCTGCATCTGAAATATACCAAACAGGAACCAGCTGCCAACGCTGTGTGACTTATACTCCTGGTGACCTGAAACCCCGTTTCCCCCGGGGTTCTGTATTCATTTCTGGTTCTGTTTGTCCCATTACTGCTGGGCCCATTTCCAGGCTCCAACCCACCTGGCATAAGTTCTGGTTCCAAGATGCCCAGCCCAGGTCTAGGCCTCCCCACTTACTGCAGCCAGAGAGATCAGTGCCAGCCCCTGCTGCTGTCTGTCTCCTTGTCCATCGCCAAGGGCTGGGCTGGCAAGGTGCCCATGCAGCCAGGATCTCACACACTTTGCCAAGAGACTAAACCCCGTGTTGAAAGCGCCTTAACAACATGTCGAGATTAAGCCCATTTTACTTTCCTTGCTGGTCTCACCATCTGCTGCTGCACTGACCAGGAGCTCATTCTCCTCCTTATCCTGGGGCAGGGCCACACAGAATCTAAGCCCCCCCACTCCTTTGATCCCACACATACTCACTAATCCATCAGCAACTCCAGAGCTGTGTCAGAGAGTCTGGGAGGCAGAGAAGGGCTGGGGGAACAGCTACGGCACAGAGGCAGGAAGGAGACTGGGGTGGTCTAATTACAAAGCTCTGGGCTGCACAAAGAACAGGTTAACCCTGGAGGATTGTCTCTCCCTCAATTAGCATCGAGGTAACTCTGGGCCCCTTTGGCAGCCCCTGCAGGGTAGCTAATGACTAAGGCTATGATTTAGTCATGGAGGCCACAGCAGTCACGGATTCCGTGACTTTCCCGCACCTCCGTGATGTCTAGGGCTTCAGGAGGCGGAGACGGGACTGTGCGCCCCTGCCCTGAAACTGGGGCTGGCTGGAACCAGGACGCTGCAGCCCTAGCCCCACAGCTTCTGCCAGGAGCTTCAGCCAGGGATGCACTCCCCAGCCCCACGGTGTCCCGGGCTTGGCGGGGGCTGCAGATGGAGCCGCGTGCCCTAGCCCCGCAGTGTCCCAGGCTTGGCGGGGGCTGCAGATGGAGCTGCGTGCCCTAGCCCCGCAGTGTCCCAGGCTTGGCGGGGGCTGCAGCCAGGGCCAAGTACTCAAACCTTGCGGTGTTCCAGGCTTGGCAGGGGCTGCAGCCGGGGCTGTGTGCCCCTGCCCAGCGGCTGCACTGGGGACAGTGCATCCCCCTCGCAGCCTCCATGGCCATATGCCACCCCTAGGTGTGGCTGAGGCTTGGTGGGAGCTGCAGCCAGGGCCACACACCCCTGTCCCATAGCTGTGGCCCGCTGGCATGGGAGCTCGGCCTGACCATCCCCTCTGCGATGGGACTCCATTCTTCCCCCCTACATAGCCCTGCCCCCAGGGTATTTTTAGTAATGTCACGGACAGATCACTGGCTCCGTGAATTTTTGTTTATTGCCCGTGACCTGTCCGTGACTTTTACTAAAATAACCATGATAAAATCTTAGCCTTACTAATGACACAGCCCAGCTGTATGGAGCCTGCCCTATTGTGCTTTCCCACCAGGGCAGAGTCACCAGCTTCCCGCCGCTCCAGGAAAGCTGCAGCTGTAGCATTGTTGGAATCCCTGGCTAACAGGCTGGACCATCCAGTGGCTTGTCACAATTTTCCCAGGGAAAATGGCCAGCAAAATCCAGTCGTGCCAAGAAACCCAAGGTGCGG